TTAAGGTAACAGGGCTTTTTAAATGTTAAACGACTCATTGCCTACTTTATTTTTAAGTAGGAACAAACACATTATCAATATTATTATTAATAATAATAATACTCAGTTAATAATAAGTGTAATCCAACATCCACCATCACCTTAACCAGCAGACAGCATGATCCCCGTTAATCACCTTTAACCTTGCCTTCTGTCACATGAGACATCCGGCATCATCACATGTGAGAGACGGCCAAGGGTCAGATGTGGGGTGGGGTGTATCAGAGCAAAAAAGGGCCAGACAGTTAGGTGTGAAGCTACAGATGGACCATATGTTGGTGTGGGCTCACAGTTTGCACCAGTGAGCAGAGAGTAAGAGTCCTGCTGCCACCATGTCTGCCTCTGACCACAGCTTTATACCTGTGACTGAGACATCCGCAGTCCAAAACCAAACATCTTTACCACTTTCTGTGAAAGTCTGTTTCATTTTAAGCCACAACGGCAAAAGGTTTTTTTTCCAAACAAGTTTAAAGTTTTTCTGCTATTTCTTAACCATCTCAAACTCCTAGCAATAGAAATATTCAATTTTAACAGGAGAAACCACATTTGTTTAATGCAAACAATAATGAAAAACCAGTGAGGAAAAAAGAGAGAACTAAGAATGTCATAATTACTGTGTTGCAATGTAGGAGCATGAGGGATGTACAATTAGGGTCTGAGTTGCCGTCAGACAACCAGCAGAGGATGTTGCCTCAAAGGGTCAATAGTTGAGCAGCAGATGATTTTAATTTGTCTGTTTAACTTCAGTAAAGGTTATGCTCATTAAACAGGGATTACTATGGAAAATGAATGTCTCTGAGAAACTGATCACACTGCAGGTTCCCCTGTTAGAGGGGGTCTATGGTATATTATAATATATAATTATAAATATTATATATATAATATTCTGCTGTAGTGCATTGCACGCATAGAAAAACTGGTATTTGTTTTAGCTGTGATCACAGACCATCTGAAAAGGGAATTCTACAGTATATAATATAGAGTAATGATGTTGAAAGGGTGGGTTGTGACCCTAATGTGTCAAGTTAGACATGACTGACTTGCATTCACTGTAGACGTGCCAAGATCTACATCTGAAGAAATGAACAGAAGTTTAGCATATTCACTCCTTTAGATGTTGACGTCTACATTTCTACAACGAAAACATTGTGGTAGGATTATGTAAATTAACTGTAAGCTCTTCAAGAAAGAATCGCCAAACGTCACCAGCAACCGTCTTGGGGACTTATTAGATATGCTCGTGATAAAACGAAAAATACACCAAAAAGTGTTTATAGTTTCCAAAGAAAATTTGACTTGTTTACCACCTCTGTTAATTTCATTTTAAATTTGCAGCCAATCCTTAAACAGGATGAATGAGAAGACTTCACCTGCAGACTCTGTTAGAGTAATTGGGACACATCAGCATTCAGCAACAACTCTGGGCCATCGTCTTCAACTCAGATATTCTCACAACAGACCACATATATCAACAAGCTCCAAGACTTGTCAGGGGTTTTCTAGCAGGCCCGTGAGCCCCCTTTCAATTCGCTCTGGTTCCCACACTGACTGAAGCAGTGGAACACACACATCAGAACTTTCTATGTCAGTACTCAGGTTAGAACCTTCACACCCTCTCTGTCCCTCTCTCTCCTCCCATCCAAAAGATATCAACAACAACAACATGTTGAAAACAATGTGTCTATTAAAGATCTTTCTCTCACTCTCCTTGAAAAAGAGAATTTAGGCACAAAGGATAACGGAGCAGCTTTGGAGAAAGGAATGGGTCGGTTTTGGGGTCGACATGCCATGAAATTGAATAAAGAAATGAAGAAATCCCCTCTTTGTGGTCTGAGAGCTGGAGGGCCAGAGAATGGCCCTTGGTGTTGTCTCAATGCCGGACCCCAGTAAACTTTAGCTTACTCTTTTCTTTCTGAAGCTGTAATTCACATCTCTCCCAAACCCTCCTAAACTCCCCCCCACCCTCCCACCTCCGCTCCACATTTCACCCTCCAGCCAGTCCCTCATTGTCTTTCAGGAGAAACCCTTCTTTGGCAGAGCCAATCACCGAAATACAAAGTCCTCTTTCAGTCCTGTCCAGTTTTTCATCCCCTTTCGCTCACTTCCGCTTTGAGCAACTTTAAACTTCAAGGCTTTTTCCGAGCAACTCACATGAGCGGAAGCTTAGCACTACAGGGGGACAGTGGTGTGTCTCAACCACAGAAGACGAGGACTTCCTGTTTAAGATACTACTCATCAAGTTCACCTCACGTTGTTGTACCAATGCCCACATTAAATAAAATTATTTTACATTAACTAAGTATTAATTAATGTGAATAAATTAAATGTTTCACTCAATCTCTAGGTTGGGTTTAAATGTTTAAGATGACGATGGGTAAAATTCACTTTGTGGCTTCTCCACTATAGCTGCATGAAACTAACATGTTATAAATAGCATTTTGCTATCTCGTTTTTTGGTTTTGTTTTGTTTTTTCAGGTTTTATGTCCCTTCTGTCATGAATTTAGCCTGTCACAATCACTGGAACAGAATACAGAGAATCCTCTAAACTCATTCTCACATACCCCTGTTGTGATAATGGAACAGGAAACTTGTGAACCACATACTTTGTCTTTATATAAATCTGTTCAAGCGCTCATAATTTTCTCAATCTGACACGTATTTATAATCAGGCCTAAAGGGCAAAGATAACACAGGAAATGTTTTAAGGTCATCTATAATCAACTCATCTCTTTCCTATAGCTGTCATTCAATGCTACTTTGTTTTGTACAGGTGCTGTTTTTCCGTTTAGTGACGGACATGTGGTGATGTAGAGATAACATCATGGGGCAGATTGCACAAGCCATCTGGACACTTGGACAAGTGTGTGCGTTCTTCTGTGTCTGTGTGTGTATGTATTAGGTGCCAAAAGATCATGGACTGAATCAAAGTGTTGTGTATGTGGTGCTTACACCAGAACAAAGATCAGATCTATAATACCACAACCTTGGTAACTCTGCACATATGCAAAACACTGTGGTTACATTTATAAAATGTGTTAAAATATTTAGTTAACATATTTTCACTTAGTAAAGTTAGATCTTACTTCATCATGTTGGCCCTAGATCAGATACAGGTCTAGGTCTAATATGCAGTAACTTCACATACACAGGAACCAGCAGTAATCATATATTTAGCACTAACTTTATTAAAGTCCACTAGCAGCCTGATGAAGTCATGAAACGCCGCACAACCCCAGAATGCACTGCTTGCTAAATTGCTTAATGCTAGAATACAATTATCTTTCTAGGCCTGTTTCCTTGAACCAAACAATGTGGGTCAAATATTATTGTTAAATAGTGTTTTAACAGAAGAACAATGAAATAATGTAATTTTAAAAATTGTAAGAACAAAAACTTGAAAGGCCTGTTTTTAATTTGCTCATCAATCATGTGGTACAGGAACTGGGCTCCTAACCATCATTTATTAAGAGCTGTCGTCAACTGTTACTGTAGGAAGATTGCCCTGAATCCATCCTTTGTCTGCAGCAGAGACAGTGAGATGGAAGAGACGTTCTCCCTTCCAACTACTGTTAAATCCCCATCAGTCAATCAGCCCGTCACACAGCATGACCTCGGATGGATTTTCATTCAGCTTCATCACAACACATGGCTTGGACACAACACAGAATCGACAGCCTTTCAGCGGAAGTGGAAGTTGACATGAGAGAGTAGACATTGAGTCTGCACACCCAATTGGTGGAACTGAAATGTGAATGGAGAAAAAATGGAATCCAACATGGACAACTGAACCGAAATTAGTGTCCATGCTTCAATTATTGTTGGTTTGAAGAGCATTTGTTGAACTCTGCAGCATGGTACAATAAAGAACCTGTCATAAATAATAATAATCTTATAACAAGCAAAAGAAAATCTAAAAAGGTTCTAAAATGTTTTAGAATGTTTAATTTCTGATTAGACCCAGGTAAATGTTTTTAGAATGTGAGGAAAAGCTAGAGTTCTGTGAAAAAAACGTATGCATGCCGAAAATAAATGATACAACTTTCTACGAATCCATCATTAGCTGTACATTGGTTATTTAGTTCATGCAGCTCTGATACAATCTGTCAAGATCTGCCTATCTGACAAAACACTCTATGACCTCATTCAACATCTCCACAGTGCTGCTGAACTGAAGAAGCTTTTTTTAATGGTGTTTATTTGCTGGTGTTGGTTGTTGGGTTTTTTTTAGGGGTGTCTATCACAAACATGGCCTCCAACACCAGAGAGAAACCACACATCTGGTTGTATTTGACAAAGCAAACAAACTCCGTGTAAGTCTGCAGCCACGGTGTGTAAACTAAACAGGAAGCTCCAAACCATGCAAATCCATCCATTCCATTCATTCACATCTCAGGAGTGTCCTAAATCCAGGTTCTGAAGCTACACGGCAGCCACAATCCAACCTGAGAAAGTACTTGTCCCAACTTTGTCCAGGTCATGCTCTCCGGGGGGACGTAAGGCGTCTCATGTTGCCACAGCTTTTACTATTCAGGCCAGGTCACAAATTGTATCAAGTATCAGCCAGCAGAGGCACTTTTCACACACACAGTGAAGGTGTTGTTGCTGCAGTCACCGTTAATACAACAAACGCGTCTGTCTGAAAAGCCCCCGGAGCCATGTTTTGTGCAATCACATGTTCTGATATCTGACACGGGAATCCGTGAACTGACGTCGCGACCGAAAGATGACTGAATTATGACTCACACGATCTTCAGATTCTGCATGTTGCACCTCCGGACAGATTTACACAATCATCAATCAATTCATGACTAAAAACATCCACAGTAAATGTTACACTTCTGCTTATTCATTGCTGTCCATAAACATGTCTTTCAGTGGGAGGGGATGGAGCAGGGCTGACATCATGCCTCTGGGTGGTACAGTGGTTTAGACTTGTTAACTGAGAATTCTTATACAGGCTTAACCTTTAAAGAAAGGGCTTATCAACACACATGACTAATAGGAAGGAGAAAAATAATATTATCAAGAAGCAAACTGGCATTTACCCCATTAACAGAACACAGAACAATGGAATAAATCAGCCTGACACAGCAGTAACAGCATTTTTCTTTCTCATTTTCACCGGGGGCCACATCACAATAAAGTTCCCCTTAAGGGGCCGGTTGAACTGTAAGACCGTCGAGCTGTCACTACTCTATATCATAATAATAGTTTTCTGCAATCTATTATTTGTTCAATTTACAAATACTACACATTGCTCTGTGTAAATCGGCCTTAAATTAAACCTTAACTTTGAGTCTTCTTTGTAGGTTCTCAGTATTCAGCTATAGTCTGGTTGGTTTTGGAAACTACAGTATGTGTGACTGACTGTAATGCCAACAGCAACATGACATGACAAAAGTGTGACACCATGTGCAAGGGCTTCTACTGGACATCTCTCTTGCCGAGTACATGCTGTGTCTAATCAATTCTGCTTACCTAACCTTGTATTATCGTATTTTCCTATAAGATCTCTAGGTGTTGGGGCAGTTTTAAAACATTCACTGCAGTACATCTGTATGTCACTCACTTATGTGAGAAGCAGCAGATAGCCTCCCTGCCCCCCACCAGGGGTTTTTCAGACACCCCTGATTTAGCATGTCTAATTGAATAGCAGGGCCCAATATTATTAGACTAAAGTGAGCAGTAAAAGTCCAATAAAAATAAAAAAAACTGCTCACATTACACCAGCGGTCGGTCTTTGTAAATGTTCTACCTGCTGTTAGGACGGGCTGAGGCCACCCCTCCTCCTCCTCTTCCCTTCTGCTCCACAAACACCACCTTCAGTCCTGCTATATGTGACTCGTGTGTTTGTATGACTTCAGCAGGGCTGAGGTTGCAGCGAGCTGAAACCACCAGCGTTGTGGCCATGATGACTTAGAATCTGAGGCTATTTATACCCTCCTTCTGCCCCCCTTAGCTCAGGGAAACTTGATGCTGGTCTTTCCCACCAAGGAGGAGAGAGGGAGGAAAAGAGAGATGAAGAAGAAAAAAGAGAAAGAGGTAAACACAGGCTGAAGTTTGCAGAGGAAGCTCTGTGCTGGTTTCCTGCATGACTGTCTACACAGGCAGCATCTTGTGTGTTTGTGAGTATGAAGACTTTTCCTGTTTGCTCTGTAAGGCCTGTTGTCAACAGTAACTCTGGTTGAACGCGTATCATAATCAACAACTGCAGCAGTAAAGACAAGTCAACACAAATAATACCCAATCACATCATTAATCTGTACAGAAAGGGAATAACCTTAGATATGCGTAACATTATTCATGTGTGGCCTAAAGCAGAGGTCAAAGAGGTCAGATTTTCCAGATGTTTCCTATTATCCTGCAGCACAGACAAGACCTTCTGGTCACACTCCTCTCAGGGAAGAACGAAGGTCAGAAGCTGGCGTTTTGGTCACACAATTCCCTGGTTGTCTTTCATAGAACAGGAACCACCATGACGCAGGGTCAGTGTGGTCAACAAGCTCCAGCAGCATTTTTAAAAATGGGAAAACTCCCATTTTTATGGTTTTATAAGGAAAATCCCTGCAGCCTTCCGGTCATGATTGTCCTGACCACATCCTTGTCGTAGATATCCTAGACTTTGGGCATCAAGAAAACAGAAATCTGCTTTTCCTGCACAGGTCTGAAGAAAATCCCAGCTCATCCATGTCACTATGAATTCCCAAACATGGGACCGAAGGTTTAAAAAAATTATTATTCATTAGCATAAACTTTTAAATGACAATAGGAATATTTTCATTGAAAAGCCAAAGGCACAGGAGAGGTCAGCAGATTCAGAGATGCGATGTGATAGCAGTGAGAAAAACGAAACCTCTAATCCTTCTTTTCAACCCTCCATCCCCCTTCTCACCTCTGCTCTTCCTCCAACCCTCCGTACACACTTCCCATCTGCACGTTAGATGAACTGGTTGGCAGTGGTTATAGCTAGAGGATGAATGACATGCAATGCAAATGCTGGGATGCCCAAGTGGGATAACTGCAGTGTGTGTGTGTGGCAGTTGTTGAAATGAATGAGGAACGCTTCACTTGTTTATAACAGGAATGGGGTTTTTTCTTTCATTTTTTTGCCCCCTAATGAGAAGCACCTACAACATTTCAGAGGAGGAAAAGCTAATATTAGCATTTTATGTCATGTTAAGATTTAAAGCAGTTGCTTTATTGCTCTTTGAAGGCAGTACCACAATATTGTGCTACACTTGAGATCAGTTAAACTGGAGTATACAGGGAATTAGGTGTGGACACTGAAGAGCTACAGCTTTACAGAGCTGTTAAAACTTAATAGCTTAATTGCTGTAAATGCACTCTCAATAAGGTGTAAGGACTCCATTCACTCTGTCAGTTGTTAGCCATTAGCAACCAAGCAAGCAATGGGCAATTCAACTGGAAACTTTATCATTCTACTGAAACAGTTCATGAAGGCAACATCTGCTACATCTGGGGAAAGCTGCAGAATTGGCCTTCAGGGAGAATGTTTAAAAGAAGCACGCTCATCAAAGACACGGTCACCAAACCTTAAAGTCGATGCAAAGGAATCAGCTGACTGGTAAAAACATTAGACAGAGACAGCAGTTTGTTGGCCTGAAATACATTGCATGCATTTAAACAGACATTTTGCCACTTGGACAAAAGGAGTGAAGGTATGTAAAAGAAACACAGGTGCTTTCAGATGAGACAGAAGCTGAAAAGCTGCTCATAAAAACACAGTGTACTCATATAAGGACGTCCTCTGGACGTACACAGTGAACTGTCAATATGACATAATGTCCAGACGGCCCTGCTGCTTTTAAAGTCTGCAGGCTTCATTTTTCTTGGCTTCTTGCTGTTTCTTTTCCTAAGTTACTGCTATTTCTGTTCCCCATCTACATGCTAACTCACAAACCAAACAAACTCATCAAGCTGTCAAAGAATATTCTGGGAAATGTATGACCTCTTTAACTACAAACTGGACGATGTGGTCCAAAAGAGTGTATACTCCAGGGCAAAGGGGGGAAGACGTCACTTATTACCAGAAATGAATGAGTCTTTTCTTTGGCCACTTCATTACACATCACTGCTGAAGCGGCTTCACACCCAGGAACCATCTCAGCCAATTACCTCTCGCACACTGAACAAATCGATATCTTTACTGGAACCATATGTTCTAAACTCCCACTGTCAGACTTTTCCTTATCAAACACCACTGTGAGCTGCACGGTGACAATGCTCGGACTCCCACTGAGGAAGGGGAGCTCAGCTGGACCCTGGATGTCAAGCATTTGCTGCAGATTTGCTGAGGATTAGCTGTGGTGCTTGGATCGGATGGGTCTCCTCATTCTGACTACTGTTTTGATTTGAAAGTCCAAATATACCATTACCAATCAGAGCCACCAAGTTGTAATACAATAACAGGCTCCACATAGGCATTCAGCGGAGCTCATATGCATGCAAACCATATGCTATCACTTCCAGGGGCACATAAGTACAGAGTACAGAGCAGCATGCTTTGGCATCCAGGCTTGTTACCACAGTGATGTATGTCTCCATATGTAAATGTGAGTCATAATGAGGGCAACGCATTCCAGCATGGAGGGAAACACTTGTCAGCAAGATTGTATGAAAACAACAAGATGTCAGTTTAAAGCCAAAATACGGACTCATTTTATAGACATGGGAGTTTCTATGGAGAGCCAGCATTGATCATTTAAAAATAGACCCAACCCCTGAGTAGTAAAATTAGTAAATATAAGTTTTAAACAGTTTTGTGGGAATGGGTCAGCTTGTGTATTTGATTTCAGAGTTTCTGGGGAAGAGGTCAAATTTGTACCACACCAAAATAAAGTTCTGTGTCATCTAGCAGTGGTGAATTCCTGAGAGCACTACAGCCTAAAGTGCTATAGTCAAAAGAATTAATTATGCTAAAAACACTATACAAAAAATAAAAACAACATAAAAAACCAGCAGATAATTGTGACCAAAATGACTGATGCATCATTTAGAAACTGCCCTATATTTGCTAAATAGTAGCTAAATGTTATCTGAACCATTATGTTACATATAATGGGGGGGGGGGGGGGGGGTTGATTTCCCTCAGTGATGTCCATTAATTAATTAAAAAATACATAATTAATTAAAGGAGTTGCCAATCGCCATAGACGCATCTCAGTGCCAAAACAGAGATTCTGCTGAGTATCCCCACAAAGTCCAAAAACTTTAACATGGCTAGGGGAAACTGTCAGCTATTAATAGAATAATGGGATTGAATTGAAGTTTTCCACACAAATGACTACATTCATGCATTCATTCACAACGTGGCTTCAATCAGAAGATGGAAAGTGCAAAATGAGGGGAGTAGAGGGGGTCTTGGTGCAGGACTGTGGCACTGACAGCTTTCAGATGTCCACAGGAAAGAGCTTCCAGACTTCTCTGATAAATCAGTGGGGCTTTGTCTTTATCATTATGCCAGAACTGGGGGGATGTCAAAAGCATTTCCCTCTGCTGCCTGCTCTGTCTTGTAACAGAAGATAAGAAGCCTTGGCTGCTTTTGCACGACCCAAAATGAAAGGAGTGTCATATATAATGGCTCCAAAAACTTTCACAAAGTCACAAACACTAAACAGACCAAAAGAGGGGTTTCAATAAAAGAGGACATCAGTGTTAACGTCAGGCTGCACAAACAAACACAAGAAGAGAATCCTTAAGTACACAAAAGTGACACTAGATGTCTGTCAAGATGGACAGAATTTTTCAGGAACCTTGAACAAGTTTCCAACCATGTGACAGCACAAGGCAAAAAGGAAGCAATGACAGATGTTGAAATCGCACGGCCATTTAAAACTGGCTTTTATCAGCAAGTAAAAATGTTAACAATCAGAACTCATATTTTAAACGGACTTCAGGGAGGTACACGACATCTGAAGCCCTAACCAGCTAAAGGTCAGTGTTCTTGAGCTGACCCTAACCTTTGACCATGATGACAGAAGAGGGGCGTGTTTCCATCAAGAAAGCCATAAAACACAGACACAACCTTGTCACATCGCACAAAAAATGGTATGCAGACAATTTGGTATTAAGGCCCACCCAGGGTTCTCCTCAGTGTGAAGCAGAACCGACACCTGCACTGTCTACACATGATACAGCAAAGGTTGGACAGAGGACAGTGATGAGAAGTGACAAGCAAACAGTCAGACCTCTGCAGGTGGGAGCCAACCCCACTGGCACTGATTAGATGGCTGCTGGAGGAGTGTAAAATGGGGAGGTGCTTTTACACACTCACTGGCTTACCAGTTAATTAGGGTTATCTCATGTTTGGACTCTTCTACATTCAGAACTTCAAGGGGCATTGGTGGAACAACAAATATTCTTATGACAATTAGGTCTGTTGATGCTCTGATACTGCACTGAGACCCTGTGAGCTTGAGTCCAATTAACTAACATTAACACCACAAAAGAGTGTGTGAACAGTTGACACAAGACAGGACAAATGAACAGCTTTCATGTAGAGATGTCCAAAGTCTGACCCTCGTCCTGCCAGACTAGACTTGTCAGACCAAGTGATGCAAACCATGGTTCATTTCAGCATGGTAGACTTTCACTGTAGCCCATCTGCTTCACCATGGACATGTTTTTCAGAGACACTCTTGCTCAAGTTGGTTGTAATTAATTTTTCTTCCCTAATCAGCCTTGTTGTTCTCATCGGACTTCTGACATGGGTTGTTTTAAAGGGCCATTTTTGGTCTTTTTCTGTAAACCCTAGGGGCCACTGCGTGGGAGAAACATTGTCTGTGAATAGTTTTTAAATTCCTTTTCGGAACCCTTCCGGAATCAGCAAGCATGACGAATTTGTAGTCATTACTGTAAAACACAATAGCCCACTCCTGTGTGATATGGCTCCTTATCTATGTGTGTAGTAGAAAGGGGAGTGTGTGTGTTGCTGTGTTGAATGATCATGAATATCTATGTACTTGCAGGGACAATGAGAACCTGGAGCCTTGTGTCCTTTGATTGTCCTGAACCTGAGCTTTAACACACAATAGAAATGTGTGAATGACAGTCCTTCCACCAACTACCCCTCCTCACCCCCCGCGTTCCCTTTAATTCAGACTGGAGCCACTGTAGAAGATCACAATACAAGACTCTTCCAAATGTAACCAGGATGGAGTAGGACGCAGCAGATTGGACCCAGACTCACCTCCAGCGGGCTGAGTAAGGACACAGTCAAACAACAGCTGTGCTCTACTACTGCTGCTTGTTTATATACACACGATGAGTGAAAGCAACGTGGGATTTAAAGGTCCATTCTCATGGACACTGAGCTAATTGTGTTAACATCGACCAAGGACTTAGACAGAATTAGATACTCGTTTCTGATGCTTTATCTTCACGCCAGGTATTTTTATTCTCTGGGAAGAATGTGATTTAGAGATTGGTCGTTTTCCTTAACGTATGCCACTACGTGTATTGTACGTCAGCCGAATTTAAAGTAATAGTCTGCATTGCCATGAAGTGTCAACACGTTTCTTTAGAAGCGCCTGTGGTGGTCAAAAACTATCAAGCACCGTGGAATTGATAGAAATCTGAGCGGACTTCGGCGTGATGGAGTCTTTTAGTCAGTGAGCGTAACGTGGACGCTCGGGCGTTATTTTAAACTCACCGACTGGAGGAAAAGCAGCGTGCGAACATAATCCCTCTCCGTGTTGAGCATTTCATTTAAAACACACAGCCGGAGCCGCTGCTGTCGGTCCGAGTCCCTGATGTCGTGGTGACCGTTCTCCAGATGCCCGTCCTCCTCTTCCATGCTGCCGACCAAAGGCTGCGCTCTCTGATACGAATACTCGTGGTTTTTTTAAATGTGTTTTGAATCCACACCGGGCTGCAGAGGTGGTGATGTAGTTATTGTTGGTGCGTTAGTCCATTGTACGGCAGCGAGTTTCCCTCATCCTTAAAAATATCATTTAAAAGCTCCGAAAACGCACAGAGTGAAAGAAAGTTAGTCCAAAGTAGCGGAGTGAATGGATGAGTGTGAGGGCTCCAGCAGCTGAGCTGAGAGCTGTGTGCGAAGGAGGGAGGGAGGGAGGGAGGGAAGGAGAAAGGGGGAGAGAGAGAGACGCGTCAATGCCTTGATAAATTAATCTGCACTTTCTATTTGTTTTAAATTAATGATAATTGAAAAAAATAAACAAATATAAACCATCCAGTGTAAAACAAAGAACAAATATAGGTCATTCTTTCACTGTCTATGTTGTTAAATGATTTGTTAGTAAAGACTGTGGCACCATTGTCTTTGAGGTAAAGAGATACAATAGTATTAACAGAAGAAGGTGGAGAAAGTTATTATTATCGATGCAAAAATTAATAAAATGTAACCTACAAGTGTAGATTTGGAGCAAAGAGCAATACATAACTAAAAAAACATGAAAATCCGAGCAGAAATTGTTAAATGTTAGCAAAAACGAACACCGGTGGTTATTAAATAGATTAATGCTAGCTTGAGTCAGTTAAATGATATTATTACGGGTTTAGCATTTTAATTAATGGCTGTTCAAGCAATTGCTTAGAAAAAAATTACAGTTTAGCTTATACCTAGAACTTAGTTTTAGTTGTTAGGTTTTTGCAGATTGCTGAGAAATCATTTTAAAATTTAGGATTACAGGTATTAGTATTAACCATGACCACATTTGTACTGACGTACATTTGTGTTCACATGTATGACAAACACAGAAGCACGAATAGCAACTAGATTAGATGGCATCTACCGCATTATACTGCGACCGGTATAGTAATACTAGCTGTTTTTTGTAATTACATTAAAATTTTTACTGTGGGTTAGTGAAATGTTGAAGCCGAATGTTTACAATATTGTAGGGTTTAAAAATATGTAATTTTAATTTAATTTTCATTACATCATTATGTGCAAAACGCTGGCTGCTACTGAATTGAAGAGAAAGGGACCCTCTAGTGGACAAAGACAAAAGTGCAGTTTTTCAAGAACAATGGAAAGAGGCGCTGTTTAACAAACTCGTGATCTAAAAAAGAGGAAGTAGATATTAAACGGTTAGTGCATTAAAATATCATTGACTTTCAGCTTCATTACTTGTAACATGGCACAAGCTCAATGTCCTGGAGGCCAATCCTCTCCCGCAGGCTATTTAACTTTCATTTTCATACAATAACCAAATTAAAACAACTTCATGCCAGGTACTGGTGCAAATATTAACAAATGAATTGTCAACTCATAATCTGGCTCTGTATCTACAGTGAGGAAATAAAATATTAAGAAAACAAAACTGTAATATCATTTTATTACCCATAGAAATCCTGAACAAAAAAGTCATGTATTAGGAAATGGGGGAAAATAATTACAAGGTCAATAATAGTTTTAATTGATGCATGTTACATTCAAAATCAATCATCTTCCTCCCACACAGAATTGCATACATACAGCTTTTCTTGCCATCCCAGGATGAGAGCAACTATCACATATTTACACAGGATCCTCTGCTTCTGTACACGGCAAACACTTTAAATAGGATCAAACATCAGAGGAGTAACATTAGGATACAATGTAGGACTGATTGTATGCAGTTTCTTTTAGAAGCAAAATCAATGTACTTTTTTTTCCTTCCAAAAAGGCATGTGCATATAAAGCACGCTCATAAAAAGTGAGTCACACATTTTTAAACATGACAGGTTAAAAACCTGCCATCGCCCTTTTTTCTTCATTCATATTTCACAAGATAAAACTCTTCATTCCTTCAGCAGGGTTTTTTTTCTTTCAAAATGCTCAAAAAGTACAAAAAGACATGTTAAGGTAGCCACAGGGAATAGAAAACAAACGAAAATGTGCTCAGTGCATTAAGACTTTCTAATATAAACAAAGGAAATCAGAGGTGTTTTTTTTTTTGCCCTATTCCATCTTTGTGATAAATAAATTCACATTGTTACGGGCAGACAGTGACAGGGAATGAATGGAAAACAACGCACAGTGAGAGAAGGTGTGAAGCATAAAACAATTGTGAAGGCAAATGAGCATTTGTGTAACTGAAACATAATTGCATGTTAAATGTTCCTTGTTAAATGTATAATAAAATCACAGCTGTTTGCTACGGTGATTATTTTGGCTTCTGAAATCTATCACTGTCAAATTTGCTGGTGATGAGCAGAAGATGCTTCACCTGGGCCACAGTGATGTTTAGTATCAGCAGAAAACTGAAGGTCGACGTGACATGACTGCCTTTAATACAGTTTTAATGAGACGTCCAGCTAATGTGGTGCTGGTGGAATCATCATTAGAATTAGTCTGACAGCATGAGGCAGTGTATCCTCTCTGCACAATCAATGTGATCAGGTCCACTACACTTTTTTCAATAAAATAGCAAGTATTACAGAACATTTAAGTATTACTATGAAAGAAATTAAACAATACAACATTTTAATGGGAGAGTGGAAACCTATTGGAAACTATATGAGGTGCTTGTCCTCAGCCACACAACCCTCTGTTGGTAAAAAAAAAAAAGAAACAGCTGAAAAAACCCAGTAGGTGGCAGTAATGAAGGTGTGCCATGTGGGAGGAAGTACAAAATGAGCTGTAGTCTATATTTGCAGAACTGATGTTGTTCGCAAATTAAATTTGAAGACAAATAGTATTGAGGATGTGCACGTTTGATGTGATGCCATGGTTTGTGTGTACAAACACTAGCACAGGATTCCTGATTTTTCTACCTTTCATTTGAAACCAGTTGTAGATCTTTGTCTTTGATTTGGACTTTATATAAAAAATGGACAGAGCAGTCTTCTTGCGTGTTTTCATTTTAGGAGGAAGTTAGAGAAAAACAGGCAATCCAATGGTTTTACAAGCAGCTTTGTAGGAATTCTATGAGGAAATGATAATAACATTGGTTTAATTTTCTTTTTCAACAGTAGACCAAATCTGTTTAGAAGATTATACTTAACAGAAAGTAGAATATTGAAGCACAACGTGATGATTTAGTCAGAGGCTGATTACAGGCGATGTCAAAAGGCTCTGTACATCTGTGAGTTCCATTTGTTATTTCTCCAGTCTGAAATATTTCCTTGTTAGTATCAAGAAGTGGAAGACAGTCAAATGTCCAATACCTTAGTCTTTGGGTCAGGGAACACAAAGGACGCATTTTTGGTCACTTTTCTCCCATCTCACTGTGGCCCATAATTGTTGCAGCAGCAGTGCTATTAGACCCAACTGCTGCTCCAACATAATATATAGGCATTCATTTGCATGGTACTTTTGTGTAAAATGTTTCCTTGTTTTTTGCATTTCACTTGCATAACAATAGAGTTACTTCCAAAAGCAATGAACAGTAACAGTCTGTTCTGACTTCTAAAAATGTCTCTTTCCATTTTCTATAAACAGCTTATGGGACAGTGACATTTATATATACAGATATGAAAAAATCTGGGTTTTTTTTTTTTGGTTTGGCTCTTCCTTCCTTCTGTGACCCTTATTGAGGTTTTGGTGAAAAAGAAAGTAGTTTTTGTTTTAAATCAGATGAGGTTTGGCCTCTGTTGACTTTTTGTAGAGTAAAGGTCTATATCTTTAAGGAGCAAATGCACACACGTTCACAGAGAGAGCAGAGGCTGCTGTGAGAGTGAAATACTTCCAGACTGACACAGAGATGGTTCAGATTCTTCTACAAATTATCTGTAGTTAAAACTCTGATAGCTGCTGCAGAGGCTGAATGTGTTTAGATCAGGAAGACTTTAGCAGATGTTTGGGTGTTGACAAGTGTTGTCAAATTAGACAATGCACGAATGCTCGCAGTCACTTCTTTCTTCTGTTTTGAGTAACGTGTTGTCAAGCAGCAGCACTATACTGTATATATTATATTATTGGATGCCTGCATGTTTTATCTCCTTGGCAAAGATTTAGCAAGAAAAACAGAAAAAACGGTCTGAAATTTTCTTTTTGGACACAACTCTGTTATCAAATTGTTTCAGTCGCATCACACGGTGTGAAGAAGAAATTTTGTACAAGTTGAGAAAGGCCAACAGTGTAACTACTGTATTGCCATTAAAGACGAGCAGAGATTCTAGACAAGCATGGACGTAAAGGAGAAGGAGGGAGGGAGGGAGGGAGGGAGAGAGAGAGAGAGAGAGGGGAGTGTGTGTAGAATAGAGACAGTCGCTGTTGAACTTTGGCCATTCAGACGTTCCACAAGTGGCTGCGACACAGAAATGTAGCTTTCCCACCTTGGCATTGTTTTTGACACTTTGCTCTCAGAGTCAAAGGCAGACAGTGTAGATATATGTATTCATATAAATAACAAAATAGTACAGTATAAATATAAAGATTCTGTGTGTGTGTGTGTGTGTGTGTGTCTGAGGAAGTGAGTGTGTGTTACACATGTTTATGTGTGTGTGTTTATGGGTGTGTATGTGTGCCAGTGTCAGGACAGGTCAGGGTGATTAGAGGTGAGGCTTTCCCTCCCCCACCTCATGGAAGAGTGAGGTGTAAAACTCGGGCTCCAGCTGCTTGTTGCGGTAACGCTGGACAATCTCAGTTATTTTCTGCTTCCGCCTGACGTGAGGCGGGTTGTACAAGTCACTTTCCAGACGCTTTCGTCGGCAAACGTTTATGACAGTTTGACGCACAAGAAAACCTGGAGGACGAGTGAACACATGGTTGGAAAGTATTGAAGCACTTTTGCAAAGATACAGTTGAGGGCAACACATTAGTTAAGAGAAATCAGTTAAGAAACGAAATATATGTATTAATTAACAAGTGCCAATGTTTTGTACAATTCAATCGATGTCAACCAAAGAATGTGTCCACACCTTTCTTTTAGATATCTTCAAACAGCGTTGAAATTTGATGACTAAATTCTTACTATCTGGTCAGAATAAGCTTCGTTGCTTCTTACCTAGAGCTCTGCGGCTGACCACCATGCCGTCCACCAGTGGTATCACCATGCCAAATTTGCCCACAGCTCCATGCAGTCGGATCCTGAATAGTCCCGTCTTCAGAGGGTGGATGAAGATCAGAGGAATGTCCTTCTCTAGTAACCCTGACCTTTAGAGCATTGATTAGAAGAAGAGATGAAGTGGTAGTGACAGGTTGAGTGCAAGTAAAATGTCTTTTCTAAAGGGAACTAACATGTTTTGTTAAAATTTCCATTTAACCTTTTGCAGAAGCTTCTCTTTATTAGATAATGTGGAGAAGAATCACTTTTGACCTGTCACTTAATTAGGGGTCATCATAGTACTAGGTTTTATTACAGTCTAAAATTCCTTCTCTTCGCATATATATATTTATGTATATTACTGTGATTACTCAGACATTCAAACCTTATGCTTCATGTCACAGATCTAACCACTTCAACTCAATTACAGTTCCTTTTTTCTTTTCCTGCTTCTAAACATTGCAGTTTTACTTCTGTTTTTTACTTCAAGTGTTCCTCAACACTGCATTTATGAAACATAAGCACATATGTTTGCAGAGCCGTTATATATTTTTTTGTACATAGTTGTTACCAGTAAATAACGATACGTATTTGAGACCAAGGTGTGAAACTGCAAATACCTGCAGGAAGTGCTGTTGCTCATACTAGCCTCCAAGCCTGTGCTCGTTTCCGCCAAGAGATCAGACAACGGAAAGTTTTCTAAAAAGAGAAATCATAACAAACATGCTCTTTAATCTTCTGCTGACACATGGCCAAACAGAGCATTTGATGCTATTGGAGGAAGGCAACATAAATCAATGTATGAATGCATGAATCCACAAAATAGGACACTATGAAGAACATGTTCTTACCAATATCATCAAAGCACTCCACCCAAACCACAAACACCTTTGTCTCAGGACCCAGTGGGGGGAAAGACTTTCCAGTTGATGAACGCTTTGTCTTCACCAGAGGACTCAACTAAAACACAAGTCCGCCCAAAATATGCAAGTATAATCAACACTGCCAGATTGCAGGAGACATAGAGAAGGAGAAAAATATTTTTTACCTTCTTAACAGACTCCAAGTTTTCAGAATGATTGGGAAACAGTTCTAGAGTGAGGTTGGGTTGTTTTGGTAAACCAGGCAAGATGTCTGTGTTGGTGTCTGCCTCCACAGTGGAGTCACTGTGCACTGATGACTCCTCTGAGTAACAAAGGCAAAAAAGACTAATGAGTATTCTGTTGCTGCCCATTGAGTTATTTAATTGTAAGCAGTAGTTACAAATGTATTTAGTTAAGTCAAACTGACTGACCTGAGTTCTCTGTTAACGACGGAACAACAAAGGCAATCTCTGTCAGAGCATCGGCATAGTACAAAACTTTCTTTTCCCCGTTGAACACTGAACCTCCTGTGTCCTCAGGTGTAGCTGCCTCTTCTGCAATAGTAGAAATATGTGACTTATATAGGAATCATTAAAAAAAACGCTATAACAGGTATTTGTCTCCAGGTTTTATACTCTAGCTAAGCAGCTTACCTGTTTGTTGTATGTCATTGCTGTCAGAGCGAGAGTTCAGGGACCAACTAGTGTCTATGTGTCCCGTCCAACCTGGGTGACGTCCCACATCCACAGGCCAGCCTAAGGACAGCAGGAACTCTAAAAAGTGGAGCTGGACACTGGTAGATGACTCCACATTTTTTAGAATCTGCTCAAAAAGAAGAACAACAGCCACACTTAATTACTCATAGAAATAATCTGTTTTGTTTTTCCTTTTTGGGGGGGGGGGTTGCAATGTCAAATTGTTCTCACCTCGTGGCTGTTTTTTTGTCCAGCTCTTACGTAGAAAATAAAGACGGTGTCAAATGGTCGACAGGGAAGCAGGTCGAGATAACTGATGTCATCAAAAAACCCTGGCAACGATGACTCCAGACCAATCAGATGTGGAGGTAAGCGACTGTTGTTGGGCTCCTTTTTTAAAAAATAAAAACATTCTTTGTAATATATTTCACACGCAAAAATAATACCTGGAATTAAATCCACACTAATGTGACCACAACACAGACCACACACTACCAGAAGACAAATCATTCAAATAGTTTAACACTGGTTGTTGAAAGAATGACCTTGAGTGCCTCCAGAGACAAAAAGCCAAAGTGTGAGAGGAAAAGGCGTGCCGTCTGGAATTCCTGTGATGGTGGAGGAGGTTTACAGTCCGTGTGCGGATCAGGGAAAGGCTTGGACTTCCAGATTTCATCACTGTGCCGCTCCAGAGCATTCTCATACTCTATTTGTTTGGTCATGAGAATTCGAAGCCTGTCATGTTGAATTTCCAACTGAAAACATAAAGTGTCAGTTGAAGTTTTAAAAACTAAAAACGTTATGTGTTTTAAGGAATACCCAAAGTCAAAAGAACAGAAAGTCATAAACCCGAAGTTAAAAGCGTGTTCATGTAAACTCACCACGGACCATTTTAATGATACAGACTAACACAAAGCACACAAACCAACCAATCAATTCACATTTTTCACCACACCCAAATGATTGGACCCTTTTCTCCAAAGACACTGAGGTGAAGTTCTTTTTTCCTGCAACGACTCACGTGAGGGAAATTGCTCATCAGTGTATGAGTGGCTCTTGAATCATCCTGCCAGCCCAAACAATAGGCCTGAGTTTGTGCAATTAAAAATTAATCAATGATTAACTTGTGGTCTATTTTTGGCAGAGACAACAAACTGTTGTTTAGTCAAATTATAATACATAAATATGGGATTAATTAGATGTGAAAAAAGGCATGTTGCGAAAAGTTTCCTCTCACCTCTTTACTGACAATGTCATCCAGGTCAGGAATACTGACATCAGCTTTGACCAGAGGAATCTTATCCACCTCTTCAGGGAAAGGCCTCTGCTTGACATTGTATTTTATTCCTACGTCATTGTTAGGTATTGGACGTCCCTCAGGAACAAACACCTGCTGTGGGAAGAAAGAGGTTTGCATTTACACAGAGATGTGTTATCAGATATGTTAAATACAGACATCTTTCCAGGGTGATAATAGTTCAGTTATGTTTCCTTTCATCAACAACAGTGTGAGCTCACCCTCTGATTGGCTCGAGCTCCTCTGGGTTGGTGGAAAAGCTGCATGGTCCAGGCATGTCTGCCAGCTGTACCTCGGATCAAAACTGTTACTGATGGACTGGGATCTGAGAGAACAGAGCATTATCTTAAATATGTATTTGTTCTGTTATGTCACCATGAATGTGTCAAATTAAAGAATCATTATTAAATTACTGACTCTGTTCATTTCCCAGAGGTTGCTCCAGCATGGCAAGGATGACAGAGTTGTCCAACACAAAGTAACGGAAGTTGCTAGCTCCTGTAGCACTCAGTCTGGCATAGCGTATTAGGGTGTCTTCATTCAGTAAGCTGCAGGTGGAGGCAGGTCCACTGGGAGAGGGGAAGGCCCCCAACACCTGCATGATACTAGAGGAAAACCACAGGAGGCAAGGATGTAGATAACTGGGTCAATGAGAGCTTTTTCACCGTGACAGTCGCCTGCATGGAGGTTGTGCAGCAAATATGGGGGGGAAAGAAAATCAGAAGAAGCAGGAAAAAATTTACAGAAAAACATCTCACAGGTAAATCTGGTAGATACAAAAATCAATTTAAGTATTATTCCAAAGGTTTGTGCATATTTTCAGAAATAGTCGCTTAGCCCCTTGCAGCTTGATTGTTCCTCAAATTGTAAGTAGCTTTGGATGAAAGCATCTGCTAAATGTAATGAAATGTAATGTAATGTAATGTAGTACACTTTTGAAACTGATGACCTCTGCAAAAGAGGAAGTATTTGCAACATTTTTAAATTGTGTAAGTTGTCTTTCTCCAAAATGTCTAAAAATTTTTAGAAAAGTCATAAGTTACATGATGGTAACCTGGTATGTATGCAATATAACAGCAACATAAAAGATCAAGAACATACTGTACAAAATTGTCAGAAGTTTAAAACACTGATATCACAAGTATAGATGATGTTAGCTGATAGCTCTCATTAAGTATTAGTACTCGTTAAAAGGTTTAGTTTATACAATATATATTTGTGTTTACATAACTGTTGTTATGTAAGTGTATTGTTAGGTACAACTGTTTCAACAATGGTGACTGTTTATTTCTGTTTTGCACTTCCTTGTGCCCCACTCAGTGTCTCACAACTTTTCATAAAGAGTACAACCGTAATACATTAGGTAAAATACAACAAACAAACAATAACCCTGATTATGTTGTGTAAACACACCAGGACAGTGTGGCCTCAGCAGCATCCTTCACCCTCATGGAAGCTGGATTATGCTCCTTTTCTCCTTTGTGTCGAACCTCCTGCTCTTGTCGGGATTTGCTACCGGAGATGCCAAGCTCTACTATTTCCAACACCTCCACCAAACAATCCTGTCCAAAAAATAAATATTTTAATAAACCATGACTAAAAAAAAAAAAAGGAAGAAGAAAACCCAAGTTTTCAGTAACAGCCAAACTTACTTTCTCATCCAGCATGTCAGGGTGTTCTGTGAGCCACACGCACAGAAACTGGAAGGCAGCAACGATCATAGAGTGCAGGTCTCTGGACTGAAGAGGAGCAGGGCGGCTACACTGGTAAACAATGTACCTACATATGGAGCTGACAGCACGCTTACGATCTGCAGAGTCTACTCCCACCTTTACCTGGTTTGGATATGGACAATAAAGAAACAATATCATCATTATTGGATAAACAGTTTGACTTTTTTTTAAATATTTACATACAATTAACAAATTCCTGGCGAAAAAAAATAAAATAAAATGTGAAAGATGACACTTTAAATGTGAATCTCTAAATTCCCTCTTGAAATAATTAATAACAACTCTGGACTATTTTTCCCCACAGATATTTGCTTATGGCACTGCCAAACATGATGTAAAAAGTCACTTATAGCCAGGTGAAGGTCAGGTCAGTTAAATTCAGGGTGGGGCTTCATTAGCCAGACAGAACAACTGTCAACTGCAGCTACTTTCACTCAAACCAGTCAGTGGAACGCCTTCACTCTGAGTTGTTGGAAAGTGTGGGTTCACGTATTCACTGCTTTGTTCTCACCTCACCTTTGTTCTCACCCAGCTCTCTCTCGTCATTCACTCTACAGTTCACTCAAACAACAGTTCAGTTTGTCTCTCCCTACGGTTGACGCATAAAGAGCAGCTCCCCATGATGTGTTTTGAAAACCAGTGACTCAGAAATCTATCTATCTATGAATCAAGTGAACTGCTGGTGTTTGTTCTTTGTGGCATCAGGGCTAAAATTCAACTTCATATTGGATTTATTTAAGGTCATAACTTTAAGTAAGTCTTGGTTGTGAAAAAGAAAAAAAATTGAACAATTTCAATGTAAAAAGGTTTTAAATTAAAAAAATAAAAAATATCAGTGTAGTAAATTTCTGTGGTGCTGGCTTTACCTTGGCCAGGCCAGCCAGGAGTTCCAGGGCAGCCAGTGAAATGCTCATGTCTTGCTTCCACTGAGAGTTGAGCCTCTGAGTGACAAGGTGTATGCTGCGTACCAGCAGGCCTGCCGCCGTATCTGGAAGAGCTAAACCATATAACACCCGGAAATACCAAACACCGCAAAGAATAGAGCAAAGCAGAATTCAAGCAAAAAGATAGGAAAAGAGTGCCACGTTCCAAATTAGTTGGGTACTGAAACATGCATTAAGAGGAACAGAGCTTAACAATGTCTAAGTTTAAAGTGTAGAATGTGACTTATACAGTGTGCTCATACTTTTGTCCGTCCATTTCAAAGACTGAACAAAATAAAAAACTTAATTTCCCGAGGGGAACTCCGAGATGACTAATAATCTATCTAGCTCTCTGTTGGTACTGGACTAAGACTACAAAACACTACAGAAAATGCCCATTTGAGCAGATATACATGTAGTATTACCAAATTAATAATTTTATCATAATTGTAAAATTACTTCAGTTAAACATTGTTTAGCCCTTCACAAAATGTCAAAATCACCAATCAATTAGAAAAGAAATGCAAAGTGTTTAAATATTTAAATGCCAGAATGTTGTCTGAACAGCACAGCATCACAGCAACAAATAACTCTGCATCACCTACATATACATTTTACCCAATGTCTCGTTACTCTGCATACCACTTTAACCTTGTTAGCTATGAAGAACAGTTTTATTTTAGTTCAGCGTTACAAACATGTCATCAAACAACCAACAGTGCACAGATCTCACCAAAGCTGGCGTCATCAAGTGAATCACAAAGCAAAGGAAAATCTAATGTAAACAGGAGCTAGTATCTTACCATAGTCTCGAAGAAGTGCTTGGGCAGGACGTTCAGTGTCAGGACTGGTCGCCTCTGTGCTGCCCCCACTGGTGAAACTAATTCCACTGTTGGTGCGACTGTGGCTCTGGCTCCTCACAGTTATGTGGCTCCCATCTATACTCCCCTGTCACCACAAAAACACTAGCAGTCTTAAGGGCTAATCCACAACACTGCTCCTCTGGTCATAAAGTTAATAATTTAGCAGAAAGACAGAGGAGTGATCTGAGCCTTACTGTTTCAGTCTGTGCACCTATGGACTCCAGCAGCGCTGAGTCTTGGACTATATTGAGCATTGCACCTGGAAACAAGAAAATGGTTACTTAACAAGGTGATAAATATAAGCCTAGGTTAGAGGTGCTGGACTTTTTTGCCAACATCTGATATTCCAATACTGTCCAGGACTCAATTTACAATATCAAATGATACCAATATATGCAGACTTCTTCTTCTATTTTTTTTGTTTTTTCGCTCAAACAAGGCACTGACACTTAACTGAAAGAACAATTGTTATAACTGCATTTTGCAGACAGAAATATGCAGTACATGAGCAAATAGCTCATTTAAAATATAAATATATATATATATATATAAATATTTAAATCGCAAATTTAGTATCCAAGGACAAACAAACCACAAACAAATCTTAATCCTCTCATCCACGGTTAACCACTTTACCACCACTATATTTTATTGGCTTTTCATTATCAGAAGAAAAGTCGATATGTAAAAAAAAAAATACATTTTTATATTTGTATCAGGTCGATTTTATCCGACATTTCTAACTTAAGCATATCATTGCGGCAAAACTTCTTAACATATGTAACGTCAGGGAATACATACCTAGGATGAGCTGAGTGTTGGTGGGGTCAGTCTCTGTCTGCAAGGCTCCTATCAGGACATTGACAAGACGTAGACGTAGGGATAGAAAAGGCACTGGCTGGTCATGTGGCCACCCATCCTCCTCATTGAACTTTCCCTCCAAAAGAACCTAAATCACAAAGACAATTAATGAACAAACTTCATCAACACAAATCTAAACAACTTGAACTGTTAGTCATTTAAATCCAGTGTTAAAGACAGGTGAGAAACCAATGGTGTGACAGAATTATTTTTTGATGTTATAAGGAAGACATATTTAGTTACCTCTGATTTGATGTTGCCAAAGTGATGTGGCAATGGCAACATTGCGAGCAAGATGTTGATGGAGGCTCTCCTCAGATCAGTAGGATTTACATACATTTTGAATTTGGACAATTCTCTGCAAAACAAATGTTATAGACAACCTGAAGACACTGCTACACCCTTATATTATTCATAATGTGAAGATGCAACGCAGATTTGAGACACAACAAATCTAACCTGTCAGGTACAATCGTCTCCAAGGCAGCTATGAAGTAGGGCACAACAACATTGATTCCCTTCAGGTCAGTGCAGAAGAGAGAGGAAGAGTTGAGAATGATAGAAGCCAGAACTGGTCTGCAGATGAAGTCAGAGATCTGGAGACCCTGAATTAGGACCATGTAGAACCTGCACACAAAGAGAAATATTATATTTTTAACAATGCAACATGTTGCATATATGAACTTGTTCATTTCATCAGAGTAATTGTTATTTTTTTATGCAGTTTTGTTAAGGCATACATTACATTATAATGTCAATGCCCTAATCAATAATACAATCAAACAGTATATATATATATACATATATACATACATATATATGTGTATATATATATATATATATATGTATGTATATATATATATATATATATACACACATATATATATGTATGTATATATATATATATATATATATATACACACATATATATATGTATGTATATATATATATATATATATATGTATGTATATATATATATATATATATGTATGTATATATATATATATATATATATAAATAATTTAATTGCTCATGATCTACCAGCACTCCCTCTGTCATCTACAGGTAGATCCCATGCCCAATACTTGTTTTACTGACCAATGCTTAAGGTTGATCCTGATTAGCAAAAAATGTTGAAAACATAGAAAATGGTGGCTGATACCTAGAAAGATACACAGGCAGAATCTCTTCGCCAGTTTTCTTGCTACAGAAGATGCGGCAGAGTGTCCCACAGGCCTCTGCACGACCCGCCTCATAGCTCTCTGGGAACTCATTGGTGTCAAACATGGGGTTAGACACCATGGAGTCATTGGACATTTGAGAACCTTTCCTTCTCAGTTCCAGACTTACTTGAGTGGCTATGGCTGTAGAGATTGGGATGAGAGGTAGAATGAAAAAAAAATGTAGTATTGTCATCAGAGTTAATACATATAAGAGGTACAAGCAAACACAAATGTACCAACCAAATAAACTGTACAACAAAAAGTAACGACAGTAAAAACTGATACTGAACAAAGGCAACACGAAGCAGACATTTCATCACCATCACTGAAGAAAGAACAAATGACTGCAGACACACTCACATCATTTAAAAGCATTCAATAAAGGGAGCTCTGACACAAGGACTTTGTCATTGAACTGTTTCTTGATACTGACACAAAGTGTGACCAACAGCAGTGTTCCATAATGAAATGTGTCAGTCACTCATTGTTGCAAGACCACAGAACAAAACCAGTGCGTCAGCTCCCTCACTGCTGCAGTTACATGATTGTCACCCAAGGTACAGAGCATTCACTTCATGCATTCAGGCACTAAACCAAGAAATAAAAACTGAAGTTAACTGACAATTAAGGAAGTACAGAAGAAAACAATTGGAAATGCTAAACTCAAAAGGGGGTCTGAAACTCAACAGTAAGGATTAGTGTGACCCAAACAAAAAGGGGGGGGGGGGGGTTAAACAGGTGTGTTGTCACAAACTGGTAACATTATGATTGAGACAAGTGGTCAGCTGGTGAAACCCATTCCATCACTTCTGGAGAAACGCTGAGAGAACACTGGTAGACTTTTTTTTAATCATGACGAGTAGTGGGAACAGAAAACAATGATGATGATGATGATGATGATGATGATGATGATAATGACCATGAGAAACTCAAGTAAAAAAAGAAGCAGGACTATTTGTCAAGAAAAACGCAAATCAAGAGAGTAAAGAAAGCTGCCGTTCCTACTTACAAGATTTATAAGAAAGGAGAATTTGGATAAAAGAGGCTGCAAGATAACAGAAATAGTGGAGAGACACAAAATCAAAGCAGATCCGATAGCTTAGGATCAATTTATATCAGGCACAAATTGTTTTTAGTTTTAAATATTATTTGCAATACATGACTTTAGACCCATTACAACTCTGGAACATTGATCATTGAGACATGTTAGACAAGAACAGGACACTACACCAAAGAGAAAAAGAAATAGAAGAGGCAATGTGTAAGCCAATTGTTTCTTAGATTATAATGGTTGTGTGTACTATATTAACAGTTTTATTAATGATTTCACCAATATCACGACTCCATATTATGTTTTTAATTATATGGTTGTAGTTTTCATGCACTTGTCATGTTTAAAGAGCTGGCAGATGTAAATGAATTAGAAATCCGATGGAAATTTTCATACCAGGCCACTTATAACCAAGCCCTCCACACACAGAAAAGCACAGAGAGGTTTCAGAGTAAATGGTGTAAAAAGAAAACACATATCCCAACGATATAATTAAAAAAGAAAGAAAGAAAGAAAATAAATAAATAAATAAAAACATAGACGGCAAAAACAAATACCTTCACCAAAATACATGTATACTTATGAACAGCAACAAAACACCCACCTGACCATGCAATAATGGAAAGGTTGCAGCCTTCGGCTCACTTCTTACCAGTCATGCTGGGGTCTCTGCTGAGGCCACTGTGGAGTTTACAGTGAACCAGAGCAGCGTCAAATAGCCACTGGCCAAACAGATTGAGGATGCTGTTGACCTTTGGCCGTGCAGGAGCCGGCAGAGGACGAGATTCCCAACTGCTCTGGTTTGGACTAGACAGCATGGTTGGAGAGGACGAAATCTGCTGCTGCTGTTGCTGCTGCTGGGATGCTTTGGTTGGTTGACCGCTCTAAAGAAAAGAGAAGAGATGATCAATCACTGCCAGGACTACATCACTACAACATCACACTAACAAGATGGGTTAAACAGTTTTCTTTATATTCTTGAGCCTATATGAAGCAGGGAAATTGGTTACATCTGGCCAACGGACTTCTTTTCAGTATCAGGATGTTCAAACAAATGTTCAGCATAGATGACACTAAATAAGACAAAAATTAAATGTCTTTCTACAAGTTAAAGAACATAGTTGTTTACAGTCTGGTGTGTTGGTATTACTCATTACTCACAAAAAAAGAAATTCCGAATAAGTACATGCCTCGTGTTATCTACAATAGTATACATTAACCCCAGAAACCACCAATTAAACAGACCTTGTGTATTTGTATTGTTGTATTGACTTACAGTTGAACTCTTGCTGGTGGTTTTGGTGACCACTGCGTGTCGCTGCTTGCGGCTGTGTGGAGGGGTAGTGTTGGCTATGGAGGGAGGCGGAGACATGCTCATTCTGTTGACAGGGGTGGGCGGGGCACTGTCAGCTCTAGGACGTGATATACCTGTTGAGAGAGGACAAATGAGCTGGTGGTAAGGTTTGCATTTTACCTCCATATTCAGGAGGTGGGGAGATTAGTCGGGTGAGGATTTATGATTGGTTTTATTGAATTACCCAGTGGCCAGAACTTGCTTTGGGTAAATAGAATCATCTTTAAATTTCATGTTATTAAAGCAAGAAGAAAATAGTGTGAGTGCATTAGGTGATCATCTGCAATATCCATTTGACAACATGCAGTTAACAACAAATCAGTAGTCATTGATCTACATTCATTTTGATTGAGGTCACATGACAGTGACACCTTTTGTTGATCATTGCATCAGTTTAGTTGAATGTTTGTGGACATTTTCTTTTTACTTAAGCAAAAACTAATCTCAGTTGTTATTATCATCACCACCCATAAATAGACCATTGTATGCCCATCTCAGTGTACTGTATACAGTGTCAGCTGATGTTTGTACCATGAGAGAGCAGCACAGGGGAAAAAGAGAACACCCTCTCCCGTACATCTCTCTTTTCAACAGAGACACCTACAGTGTAAAGACAAAAATACACACTGGTATGTTTCTAGTTAAATGTTTATGGCTGTGTTACTGAATGACATCCTCCAGTTGCTTATACACAGAAGATGTGCCTGTGTGAAAGGAGCAAAGGTTGTTACAGGCAAACAGCACCTTGGCTTAATTTAATTACCAACATATAGCAGACTGAATCAATGATTTGAACAGATATTTTAAATTAATGGCAAAATGAAAATAAAAAACAGTCAGTACTCAGTATAGCATGTTTTTTTTACTTGCCAAAGAACACGTAAGGTTACATACGTTTGTCATGTTTTTAGACCAAATACAAAAAAATGAAATACAATCCAAACATGTACACATTAATGTGGAGTTAACTTTTACCTAAAGCTAAAATTTAAACTTCCTCTTACCCAAGAAGGCGTCCACGAGGCAGCTGACACCCCTCATTGCCCTGAAGAAAATCTGTGGAAGCTGTTTCAAACATGGGTGCAGCACTACTTCGTGAGGGATACCACTGGAGTTTAAAAACTGTTCCTGAAACTTGGGAGTGGTGCTCACTATAGCAGGATTGCTCAGGTCGACTGGGTTGCTGAGGACAAACAAATTAAATTCAAATTCAACTGCAAATTTACCATTGAGTCCAAATCACAGGCTTCTCAGACTATTAACTCTCTCTATATACTGTATATACAGATAGACACACATATATGCGCCTAAATATATATATATATATATAATAAAAGTATATAATATATATATATATATAGTATATATATATAATAAAAGTTTGATAAAAGTATATAAAAATAAAAGTTTGTCCTTTCTCTGGTTATTTACCGCACTGAAAAAGATGAAGAAAAACATAAATAGACAAATTTATGAAGGTCAGGAGATAATTTAGTTCCACCATGTCCCATAACTTCCATCAAACAAAGAAACCATTTGTAACAATGGGCCTTTGGTTTGATGAGGAAGAAGCCATTTTTTCCAGCTCAAACAAATATTAATGTAATCATTCTAAAATAATTAAACCTGAGCATGTGAAGAAAGCGATACCACGTCTGGGCAACACAGTCATTGTCCATCTCAAAAGGAATCAGGTTGGCATCCTCGTCAGGAACTTTGAAGGGTGGGAAAGACGGTCCGTGGGTGAAGCGCAAAAGTCTAGAAAACATTCAGAGTATTCAGTATGCATGTAGAGTTTGAACAGCTCTCGAAAAAGAGCTGCTTGAGTTTAGTCTGACGAAGTGCTTGTGGATGTGTAAACCATACTCCTGGTGAAACTATTCCTAGACTTAGAATCAAAACCTTTGGGTCTAAAGTTACATTTCAAAATTAGAACCCATAAAGAAAACCGGCTATGACTAACTTTGTTATCCTGTCAACATTTTAACTATTAACATGTGTAGTATGCAACTTTAGAGCTTTATACAAACCAGAGCCAAAAAGAGCCAGGTTTGTAACATGGTTCCATGCAAACATTGCGTTTGTCGGAAAGCAGTGGACGCCTCACCTAGAAGTCAGAGCACAGGCCACTCTGCTCCATTGTTCCACAACTGGAGGGTGGTGTCTCCAGTTGGCAAGCATCTCTCTCGCTGTTTTCCAGTATGGTGGTGTGGGAAAACATCGGGCGCAGGCCAGCAGCCACACTTCAAACAGCACTGCCATCAACTTCTCTGCCAGTTTTTCTGCCACACCAACTGAAGAATGCAGAAGTGACAGGTAAATATTGTCAGCGTAATTATCACTACTGGCAAGGTAAATATATCAAAAGAGAAGAGGGGGGTGGGGATTACCTCCAACAGTGGGTGGGGCAAGCAATGTGTCATTAATGCGAAGCAGGAACAGCAGCAGGACCTCCCAGGTTTCCCGAACCATGGAAACAGACTCCCTGGCCAGTTTTTGCACTGCAGTCAGAACCTGCTGGCAGAGTCTGATATGGTTGGGGCTGTGCTGGTCAGGCCTGGAGGGGAAAAGGAAGTGGCAACTTCTGTTATACATTTGTTTAAATTTAAAACTACTGATAACAAGGACTTATCTGAGAGATTTTACTCACATACCTTGGTACAAACACATTATAAAGATGTTTGAGGATGGTCTGGACATACATATTGGGCTCCTTCACCACAGGCTGAGGCATGGAGTCCCTGGGTGACACCAGGGCCATCATCCAGTCTGTGTACACGTCCACACACAACTTAACAGTGTCCCCTTCGAGAGGGAGGGTGAGGCCATAACACAGCACCTCCATGGTCCACTTCACCTGTTATAATCCATAAAATTGTTATTAAACAAATGAAAGTAATCTCAGATATTGCTTACCTAGCCTCCCTTGTCTGTGTAGCATTTTTCAGTTAAAATCCACAACAGATAAAATGTCAAGTCGAGGCACCATAAAGTCAACAGTCTGCATGATCTGTCATTCTGTTTATATTGTTTCTGTATCATTCTGACAGTCTGCTCTATGTCAAATGAGGTCTGCATTCCTCACCAAGTGTTTTAAAGCTACTGATAAAACATTAAAGAAGAAGAGAGTATTAACACAAACATCCCTTTTAGCCTAATGTTTCTAATGTAAATGGTAATATCTGTGCACATTAATCAAAAAAACACAGTATATCCAAATGTTTTCTCCTCCATCAAAAGTTATATACAGAGACAAAGCTGTGACCCACTTTAGTGCTATTCTAAAAATAGTTAACAGGTATTAACTAGACTGTTTGTGAGCTGTCTATATAGAAAACATATATACAGCACAATTAACACTGTTTGTCTCTCTTTGTCGATCCATTCAAAGACATTCTAAATGTCCTATTAGGTCTATACTAAGACCCCTGTTACAGTAAAACAACAATCGGTACTAATTGACAATAATACAGTAATAGAACAATATAATTGGACATAATTATGCAAATGAAAACACAAGGAGGGCCCATGTACTAAAGTTAGGTAAATAAATAAAAAAATGATCCTTGTTTGGGTTTTAACTTACTACAGGAAGCCTCTTCACATTCATTAATAATTTCTGGAAGGTTGTAATGTTATTAATTTACCAAAGCTGAGCAAATAAATCACTTAAACTGAACTTGAAAAAAAAAGCCTTTAGTAAAAAGAATGAACGTCACACACTAAGTAAAATAATGTCAGCACTCTAGGGATACTAATCTAGTCCACATGTGCTACCACATAGTATTAATGTACAAAAAGTACTATTTATATATATAAAAAACAAATATACTGCTGTTAACCTATTGGGGAGCTGAAACATGTGCAGAAAGTGATGTGTTTTTCTTCTAATTTGTTTTACAAACCAGATCAGTGCAGTAAATATTCTGTCTTAGTCCTAATTTTAACCATGGAATTAGAAGAAAATAGTTAAGTTCTGTGGAAGTCATTGGAAGCTCATTGGAAGTCATGTTCTTATCTGCAAAGATCACATGCATTGTCATTTCAACCATTTCATAGTTGGCCACAAAGGTTTATCCTGAGTCCATCTTCAGTAAACGGTGAAATTATCGTGCTTCTGATAGATTATACCCTTTAATAACATATAAACCATCACATGTTGTCATCACTTGAACAGAAATCAATATATTGGGTGAAATTATTTGTTCATTTGCTTTGATACTGTGTATTAGTAAAGGATCCTGCATTTGATCAAAGTACAAAATGTCTCAGTGTCAGCTTGACCAAACAGAGGAAACAAACAAAAGAATCAGTCACTGCTCTTTGTCAGTACAACTCCCCAAAGACTGGGGCTATTCAAAATACTACACTGTTTACATAATGCATTGTACTGCATTCCCGAAGAATGTGAAAGTATTTTTATTTTTTGCATGCACGTTGTTAAAGCTTAAAATTCTTTATTTTAGCTGGGCGGAGGGGGTTCTTAAAGCTTTACCAAACGTGACTACTGTATATCATACAACAGACAGGGGTGTGTCTGAGAAGCAGCACTGACATGACTGAGTGCACTGCAGTTCCACATGGACTATTAGATCATTGCATCTTAACCACAGAAAACGGTTGGTCATCAAGAGCCATAAACTCTGTCTGTTGAACAGAGGCTTGGTTTCCTGTTTTAAACCACCAGTCTGTGGCTACAGGTGTGGCCAGTAGTTTACTCAGTAGTTTCTCTGCAATGGTGAACTTTTAACCTGTTGTCTCAAATTTAGCAGATGTATTCTATTTGTTCAAAGTACTGCTGTTGTCCTTAGACATGGTAGCCATCCAGACAGGTGAGACATGTGTTAGCTTTGGTTAACTGTTTTTTTTAGCTTGTATGTAACTGGGTATCTGCTCAGTGCATGGTCAACACAGACTTTAGAACATATTAAAGTGACAGCATGACTGTGTACATGAAACACTAGTGTTTTGTGTGGAGCACTTTCTCACCTCCTTGTCTGTCTTGAGGATATTTTCTGTGGCGACTGGGCTCACAGCAGTACCCAAAGGCTTGACCACAGCATTGGCCACCTCTGTGCCCACACTGGTGGGATAGGTGTGCAGGACGCTGAGGTGGCCCTGGTCCCTCTGCACCACCAACTGCAGTGAGCGCCACTCAGAGTACATGCTACCGATGATTACAGCACTCTACTCACAGCTCCTTCCTCCACCTGCAGACATACAAATCCAGATAAAAAAACATTAAGATTCCAACAACTTAACAGCAAGGCTGGTCTTGAAAAGTAGACTGTATGATTATTTGTTTAAATGCAAAAAAACCATCTATTGCTATGACAATTAGTGTAGCAAGTCTCTAGTAACTCCCTGCCCTGGCAGCTACACATTTTATTCGTAGGGTTATCAAGTTACATGTCAAGACCAGCTATGCTCAACCATTAGAAAATGCAAAACACCAGACAGGAGCTGCAGGATCAGTCCCAGGATCAACACCATCAACAAACAATGACAAAGTTTTTCACCTGTTAATGACAGTTGTATAATAAGTTGTATAAAGCTAACAATGGCATGCTGCCATTCAACAGTTGAAAGAGCAGACTTAAAAATGTGCGCATGTGAACTGGACCAGATTTGGGCCAGGGAAAACATCAGTCCAAGATCGCTGAATATACAGTCAAGGATTAAATTAGTGTAAGCATTTCTGAACGCATTCGCTTTTTTTGGGTTATTAATTTTTTACAAATCTCGAAGATGAAAAATGTCCTCGGATAAAAACATGGGGATAATAAAGAATTGTTTAAAATGTTGAATTTTCTTTTATAATCTTAACGAAGTTGTGTATTAACCATCATCATTTTTTAACCTGTTTTAAACGGCGTTATGTATGTCTTTAGTGAGAAGGAATCGTGCAGAACACTCAACAAAGGAAGATACTTGTTTGGTGATCCAGAGTTATAGTTTGGGATTTTTTACATATGATAAACATTGTCATAATAGCCCGTAGCACGTACTGCTTGACAGTAAACAAATGACATACAGCAGCCTTTGCTTTAACACAGTAAACGTCTAGGTATGTTGACCTTGTATTCCAGTTGTCGAAGCTCACTGACCTGTGTAGGATTTAATGGAAACCCGACTGACACCTTTTACCATTTATATCCGAAATCACTAGTCGGGAGTCAACCAGGAAACGGTTCTGGAAAATCATTAGCTAGCTAAGGCAGCTAGCATCGGTACCAAAACATCTTCCTCATTAGGAGGATATTGGCTATAGTTAACTATCCCTTGGTTTTTGAGGTACAAAAACATTCCTCTATTGTGAACAAAGAACTGTCCTATGAGGAAAAACAGCCCTATTGAGCTCCAACTTCACTTAGCCATACACTACGCTGCAGTTTAGATGCGACGCTGCTAGTTGGCCTAGCTTTGCTTAGTTAGCCTTATATGCTAAGCTGCACCACTTCCTAAAAGCCGCGAAAGGTTGTGGTGTTTTCGTTTATTTACCTGCACCGGCTGGAAGTCTTGTCATAACAGGATAATGTATCCCGCAGTCTGAACTCTCTGTGTACACTGGTCTAAAATAAAACAGCCTCCATCTTCGCAATGTCAAGGCTTGGGTACTGCAGCCTGATGAGCTAACGGGAAACGGGGTCCGTAAAGTACGTTACAACGACCTCTACTGGTTTGATACTGCCAATGCAATGATGACTTCAGATGAACCCAGTGAGCAAACCATCACTAAGGTTAGAAATCAACACACTTAACAGTAACTGATATAATGTACTAGTACAAAAATTCTAACTAGTAAAAATTACGAAATGTACAAGACATTGACAGCAAACTGTGTGTATAAATGCTCTAACTATGTAACTATCTTTTTACCTACTTTATATGGAAAGCGGCTTGATATTTTAATGCATAATACAAAGTATGCCATTATTCATGATTTACTAACATCAAGCATATTTTGGTCAAACCTTACATTGGCATTTTAGCTATTTAGCTTGTTTTTCCTGACATATTACAATTTCAAGCTGTTTATAAATCATTGTCTATATTATACCTACTTGTTATGTGTGACTACCATTCATGTAAAACTTTCTTTCTTTTGGCTAACCCTTGGTTTTTTGTACTTGGTGTTGTCTTCTTCAACTGAACCAACTCCATATTTTATATTCAACAAGTGAACTATTTAAAAGTCAAAGTATGTCAGTTCTTTGTCATGTTGAGGTGTTAATTTACAAAACTTTGGCTGGGGGCCAGGCAGGGTATTCATTACAGAGGCCCAAGAGTTTGGAGTACAGACCTGTGGAGTATCTGATTTGATAGTAACTATCCTTTCAAATCTGTCAAAAGAGCATATGTTAACTGCAAAACCCACAAAAGACAGCTGCTCCCACTTGGCAACCTATCATTATTCTACTATTTTTAATAATTTCATCTTTGTAGTTAAACGTACAGTGAACACATCTTTGTTGCAGACTTTCATTGGGGTTTATTGCAATATAACATACCTAAAAGTGATATTTATGGCGCAGTCTGTCAGCAGAAGTTTGATGATTTACCTGCAAATGTGTAACATGATATACACACGCCTGCTCAGTATTCTTAACCCACTACTTTTAGATAATTCTACATTTTGTCCTGTAGGGGGCAATCAAATTCTTTTCTTAGACGTGCATTGCAGATACTGTAAGTACTTCGCTACCAGATATTTCAGCACTCGCATTTCAGCCCTCTTTTGCCAGTCAATAAGAATTAAAGTTATATTTTTTTAAAAATGCATTATTTTATTGAAGGTGATTATAACATATGGAGTAGTAGAAAAGCACAAATGGTTTATTTTAATGATGTAATTAAATAAAGGTCAAGTGATTTTTTTATCGGTAAAGCGTTTTCAGAAATAATTAAACGACGAAATAATTAAACGACAAAATATTAAAATGTCATTGGAAATCACAACGGGATATTTTAGAGATGCTGTGGATTTATATGTAGATTAATGTATATGTCTTATATGGGATCCATATACTTGTTCCTGGGTGACACCTAGTATAGATATACTGTATAGCAAAACATTTACAGTGCTTTGATTGGTCAAGTTAAAAACGCAAGTAAAAAAACGAAATTGTTTATAGAACTTTATTTCGGACTTGTTACATTTTTATAGTGGTCAACAAGCATAAAACAAATACGTTTTTATTGACAGGATAAACAGTGACAGATTTACAAGCATTTAAAGGACTTTTTCAGTAGAGGGCAGCAAAGACAAAGGCGCTCTGAACAGGTAAATAGCTTGTCTGTAAATAATGTATGCTACACATTATCATACTTGTGTGATTCTATAATAAATATGAAGGATGGATCTGACTGTACACAAATCAGTTCAACACTTTAGTTTCAGTTATACACATCTGTATTGTTATGCAGTGTCGTCTTATTTCAGAGCTTGTGGCTGGTCTGGAATCTTTTGAATGTTTAGAGTAATCCTGGAGAATCTGCTTTGAGGGAACTCAAGATAGGATTTGCTCGATGCAATCCAGCTTGCACCTAATTATAGTATTTCCAAGCTTGTGATAATTAAAATACAAACCAGAAGGATTGACTTTCCTAAGTTAACTCAGATGTAATTTGTGCTTTAGCAAAAGATATGCTGATTGAGCATGAGGTCCACATATGGAGCAAAAAACCTCCTTCCAAAACAAACCACATTAAATATCCAACACTCCTAGCACACCCTGCTCTGTAATTGCAACGCAGACCAAAGAAACATGGTTATTCGTAGCTTGCATCTTTATACAAAACAGTGTGCAAAGACTACAGGTGTAGACCAGATGTGAAAAAACAGAAATGGAAAAGTCCTCTGTGATGCAGATTTTGGCAGTCAATGTGTCGCCATATCGCCCCAGACTGGGTTCCACATGAGTTAGTGAGTGCTAAAGAAGCCAAACAGTCCTCCATCCCGGATAATGTTCTCAGAGGACAGAGGTGTGGAAAAGAATTATGGGTAAAAGTCAGCATTCTTCTCACCCCCAGCTCTCCATGTTTGGTAAGGTGCACTCACGCTTCAAGGCTGCTATGAGTGGTGGCCATATGCAAATGCTTCTAAAAAATGAAAGGGAGAAAAAATAAGCTCAGACGCTCAGAATTATGTTCTAAATTCTGCTGTGTTTTATTCATAATCAGTATCAGAGATTTAAACTTGAAGCCATATATTAGTTTTGACCCTCTGCTGCTCTACAGCACTCTACAAGAGACAATAATTCTTGGCTACATATATACTAAAATATAGTAAAGTAGAGTAAAAACTACAAATATGATTTATTTAAACACCTGCCAAATTTTTATGACACACTACTTTAGAGAACCCTTTTGTGAAACAGCTGTGCTTCAGATACAACGATCTTGCGCTCAATCTATAAAAATATATGTCAGAAATAGTTTAAATAAACCTAAACTCTTTTAAACCTTTACAGGATTTTCAAGGTCTTTGCAATGTATTTTTGATCAGGATCAGGTCAGGTCTTGCTTATCTTTCCAGTTTTTATACTTAGCTGAAAAGACTGTGAATTTGTATATGTAGTTGAATACTTCAAATACCATAACTCTAAAGCTGATACCCTGAGGAGAATAGGAAGATTCACTCTCTCACAGCATATAGCAAGATTTTGGTTCGAGCCTGAACTGGATAGAAATTAATAACTCACCTGAATGGAACTGTGCTGTACAACACAGGCCCTCTCCACGCACTGTCCTGTAAATAGGAGACACACACACTCTGGAAGATGGGGGGAGACGTGTGAGACGTGTTGACAAAGAGTCGGGTGGCAAATAGAGGGAGGATCGTTTTCCTGGGTCAGAGTGGTGCTGTCCCTCCCAGGTGACCCAATAGCCCCTGAGCCCAGCTGTGA